CCCCCCCCCCTAGACTCCTGATTTTACTGAAGTTTGAAACCGTTATGTATGAATGAGTAAAGTTAAAGCATCAATTGGACCCAGCCGTAGATCTAGCCTCGTCAAAATCATCATCGGTCATATTTATCGACATATCCAACTCAACGTGAGACCCTGATACTTTCAGCTGTTATCAGAGTTATGTCCCCTATCCCCTGTTTAGGAAAATACAGCTCACACGGGTAGAGGGTTTGAAGGGTTAATAAAAAGCCTCTCTTTTAGACGTGCACACATCTCTATACGCACGAATCATCGAATCATCACTCACTTTCACAAGCACACATAACAATAATATATATATAGCCTATATGTATAGAATGTATAAACAAACCATCACAAAATGCCATTATCTTCAGTGGAACCTGTAACCTGTGTAAGACGGATTCGCAGGGGGGGGGGGGGACAATATGTCTTAGACAGGGGAACTTAGGGGGTGTTGAGAGGCCCAGCCGGTGAGATCAAGGGTCGCTTGTCCGATCGACCAGCAGTGGTCAAAACTTCACACTTCTCAGCTGCTATCCTGTCTGATCATGACATGTGTCAGTCTTACTTCACACCTCTCAGCTGCTATCCTGTCTGATCATGACATGTGTCAGTCTTACTTCACACCTCTCAGCTGCTATCCTGTCTGATCATGACATGTGTCAGTCTTACTTCACACCTCTCAGCTGCTATCCTGTCTGATCATGACATGTGTCAGTCTTACGTATCCAATTACCTCCAGTGCTTGCCTTTCTTAGGACCAGTGTTTGATTCAAAACCGAAACGTTTGAACATCTTTGTTTCCATGCAACAACAGGGGCAGCAGTCGCGAGATTTCACACCCACACTACACTGACCATCTGCATCGCTCAGGGCTCACATGATGCACCCTACTCCCCTTCCTCGCCCAGCGACATGGCCATAGCGTTATGTCTAGACAAAATCAGGGCTGAGCGGGCAAAGCTTAGGCATTTTTCTTTCCGTTTACGGGTTGGACAGGTATAAAAAAAGTAATTAAAGAGGAATATACCAAGGGGGGAGCGGGGAGATTCTGTTACGGCAGGTTTCCGTTTTACACAGGTTTCTGTCAAGGCAGGTTCCACTGTACACATTGGCACAAGCATCTCATTTGCATCTCATTTGCTCAACTTGTCAGATCAAATGTCACCCCCGCATCCCCCTGAATGTTCCTTCAAATTTAAAAAATTCACAAGTCACTGTTTTGTTTTGGTGAGTTTTACAGCACTTGCGAGTTGCAACACAAGTACATAGGCAGTGAGAAAAAGGAGGAGAGATATGGACACCCGCTGCACCTGTCCAAGACAATCACCTGTACAAACTACCACCTATAGTCATCTTCTTCCACTACAGACAGTCATCTTCACAGACACACAAGGTACCATTCACCAGGTCACTTGACACACCAGTTTCCCCCTCCCTCTCCCCCTCCTCATCTACTTCTTCTTCTCTCCTCACAATAGCACATTAAGTACCCAAGGTTTCTTGTTCTATCGGGTCAAGGACAAATGTTATTGACTGGATGCACCCCTGCATCGCCGCAGAAAGTTTACAGGTCATAAAGAACTAGAAGTAGAGGTCACGTCTTTGGCAGGAGTAGAGGTCACGTCTTTGGCTGGAAACTAAAGCTGTAGGATTTTTTGGCTCCTCACTCACGGGGGGACAGACTGTCATCAGTTACTTTTACTCAGAGTTGTACATCAGTTACTTTTACTCAGAGTTGTACATCAGTTGAACTTTTACTCAGAGTTGTACAGCACTAACTTATATTACGGCACTTGCAATACAAAAAAGGTCGTACAAAAAGCCACAGGTGGCCACCATCGACCAGGCCTGGTCTTACACGATGACCTACAACATTCAAAGAGCAAAGGTTCACAAGTTTAAAGACAAATTAAGAAAACCTTAGTGCATACAAGAAGGCCTGTTTTCAAAGTGCTCGAGCCGGTAAGGACATATTTCTATATACGCAGAGATGTTTCTATCACCAACAGCCCGACGCCAAAAGCATACAAGATCTATGTAATATATATATATATATAACAATCTACACACAAGTGTTGTACCAAGAAACAAGTGGGGAACAAATGGAATGAACGTTTCTATGACACCAGATTGTTTGAAAAGATGCACAAACTGCGCCAGGGAGAGGTCGATAGGATGTGTAAAGTTATTCCTTATTGTCTACAGGAACTTGCAGACATACGGTACCGAGACAGACTGACATACACACAGAGCAGAGACAGACAGAACAGAGACAGACACTGAAATAGAAACGTCAATGTGAGCCCACATAGAGTAGCAAGAAAGAACATCAGCCTCGTCATTATGTACAAGAATCATTGCGTGATCTACCACGTGGCACAACCACTACACCACCACAGCCCGCTACACACCAGGCCTGGGAGACTTCCTTCTGACAGTCGTCGTTGGACCAGCTGACACTTTGAACTTCTGACAGTCGTCTGACCAGCTGACACTTTGAACTTCTGACAGTCGTCTGACCAGCTGACACTTTGAACTTCTGACAGTCGTCTGACCAGCTGACA